CACAAAGGTGAAACGAACTAGGCGAAAAAAAGAAGACAAGGAGCTCAAAGGAGAAAAACAAGGAAACAAAACCTCGCAAGCCTCGCACCAGTAATGCCAAAATCAATTATAATGGCGACGGCAATAATGCCAATGAGAACCCGAGCCAGTCTCAAAATCAGCATCTTCCTCTCACCGATGACAATGCAGATCGGGCAGCGTCGCGAAAACGACCCAAGCTGGATCATCCACAGGATGCCAAGCCAAGTCCGCCTTCAAGGCAGTCCAAAATCACCGATCTAGTAACCCCTCATACCGCTCCTATATCTACTCCTTCGACACTATCTCCAACTCACGCAACCTCGTCAACCCAATTCCATCTTGCTCCGTCTTCAACTTCCACCTCGCCCCGGCTCCAGCCACACCTCCAGCCAAATCACCCGCATCCTATTCCCCCTAACAACTATGATGCATTTTCTACAAACGGCGAATCCCGCCCTCCATATCGACCCTATCACATGCAACAGGGCCCGTCTTCCACCTCTGCTCTAGCTCCCGCCCCTAGCCCTGCCCATACTCTCGCTCCGTCCCAGCAACAACCTCAACCCGCGCGCACCAGTGGCCAGCACTATGACCCCATCCGCTCTGCCTTCGACAACTCATCCGTCACCGCCCCTCAATTCTCCGCATCCTCAAAAATCTCCTTGACTTCTAGTCACCAGTTTACTCCCCCGCCCAACACAAGGACACCTCCTCCTCGTCCAGTATACCGAGCCAGTGCATCTCCCGCCATTTCCAGCATAATCGATCCTCCCATCCAACCGTCTTCCTCAGCTCCCCCCCAGCCATCTCTCTTTCATCAGCAGTCCAAGGTTTCTCCAGAGAACAGCCATTCAGCCAAACATTCACCTGTTTCAGCCACTCCCATCTCGACTCCTAAAACCAATACGACACCTATCCAACAGCCTAAAGCTGTGCATCAGCCGCTGCTGTCGTCCTCTCTCCTGGAAGAACCAGTCACCATGGATATCGACAGTGGGAACAATGCACCAACTCCCGCTCCGTCAGTACCCTCGAAACTAACTTCAACAGGCCCCACCAAAAAAGGAACCGGAGCTTCCACAGGTACCCCCTCCACTGCACCATCTCCCAAACCTTCACGAACCAAAGACACAACCCTGCCCCCGCTCCCATCAGGCTCGGGCTTGCTAGCCGGAACCCTTTTCGGCGTAGACGCGATCGACAAATCTAACTCGACATCAACCCCGAACATCATCCTCCACATCCCTCTAAATGGTAAAACCAACCAGATCATCAATTTCACTCGGCTGGCAGAAGAACAGTACGGCTTTGACGCCCTCCATCCCCGACTTGCAGCGCAACGCGAACGACTAGCCCGCGTCAATGCCGCCAGCGCTGCACTGGAGAGAAATGAAAAGAACACCAGGGGTACCACTGGCACTGATAGCGCAGCGGAGGATGATTTAAGCCTCGATGCTGATCGCGATAGCGACGGGGATGGTGATGTGCTCATGTCCGGTATGGGTGGCTCATCGTCGTTATTGAATGGGCCATGCAGCAGCGACGCTGGTGGTGGGGGTGGTGCTGGTGGTTCTACAAAGAAGAAACGACGGCGGAAAATCGAAGAGTATGACCGTGACGACCCGTTCGTCGACGATAGCGAGCTTGCGTGGCAGGAGCAGCTGCCGCGAGCACGGATGGGTTTTTTG